TAGTGTCTTCCCACTTCAGTCCATTCTATCCACACTGTCACGTTCACACCTGGAATAGCTCCATTTCGGCACTCCTCCCCATTCCCCCAAAAGCCATTCATTGAAACCCCTTGCCAAATGGAATTTGACTGACCTATCATTGCTCCACTTTCTCTACCCTCATTCGTATCCATCCATGTTTTCCACCTCCAGGCTGGAGATCTTGTTTGGAATTGTTTTGTCTGCCTTTCCATATCTCACCCAACCTCCAAGACACTGTTCTGCCCCCATTTCTTCTGTGAAATCTTTTCCACCATCCCCACCTTTCTTTCTCTGAAATCACTCATTCATTCTCGATATTCTTTTGATCATCCACCACATGGGTACAGAGATTCTTAGGGAATAGTCCTTGACTCTCCTATGGAGCATAGCATTGCTCTGTTGGATTTTTAGAGTCTTTGCATGCCACGTAACTGTCTTATCTCCCCCTCCCCTGCCCCAATGGCATCTTCTGGTGTCCTCCATGGCACATGACATCATCATGCCTTACATAGACAATGGTCTGCAGGTACTAGGTGGCTCTACCAGTTGTCAGCATCTAAACAGTTGGAATTTGTCTTGGGAAGTGAATGCCTTGAGTGGGAGCTCTAGCCTAAAGGCTGTGTTTGCCCAGTGACATGTCTTTCCACTGACTTCCCTTATCAGTAAATCCTTAGCTCTAAGAGCCAGAAACTCAAACTCCCAAGGTTACTTCACGAACTACAAGTGTCTCAAACGCATCCTCTTCCTATCTTTGCCCTCAAGTCAGAATTTCCCTAATATCAAAATTCAATTTTAATTTCCTGACATAATGGAAATATGTGTAGATGCAAATACTTCCCTTGAATACCAAAGGCCTTGAATTTAAAATACAATTTCCACAGGTAAAATTGACAACTGTTCAGGTGTCCCAACAGCTTCACCCTTTGGCTGCCTCAGTTCCTCTCATTTCCTTCTTTGACCTTTGAAATCAGAGGCTGAGGAGGAGTTTGGGGGAGACCTGTGGAAGCGTCGAGTGGGATGGGAACTAGCCTGAGTGAAATAAGCACACCCATCAATTTTTAGAGCAACACAATGTGGAGTCATCTTTACTCTTCAATTAATGGGAGCAAATTACAATCCGCATGTAGTAATACCTGTGGAATACTAGGAAAGTCATCAGAGTGCACTGAGTTTTTGACATGCTGAGACAGTGATCCCAGCTCCCCCAAAAGGCCCACGAGAATGAGAAATTCATAACTTCACAGAAGCTTCCTGACTAGAATGGCCCCTATCCCTACCCCCACCTTGAAGGCAAACCCTCCTTATTAAAGGGTTCCTTCCGTCATGCCATTCCAGATCCCTCTGGCTCTGACACTAGTGCTGTCCTACCGTCAGTAAGTGATGCTAGGGACTAAGAAAGAAGAGGGGGGCAGGGGAGGAAGGAACTAAGCAGCCATGTTTTAGTACTGTCCCAGCGCAGTATGTGCAAGCGAGGTCGCACATAGGGAAGAAGCTGGTGAGTCGTTTGCATTTCCCTTTCCTCTCTCCACCCAGAAAGCACGCAGAGCGTCTTCTTACACAAGGAGAGCACAGAGGCATGTCAGTGTCTAGAAGCAGAGCACCTGCCTCTGCATCACAGTATGTATCATAGTTGTCAGGTGCTGTGCTTCCCTCCAAAGCCTTCGCCCAGGCTGCTCGCTCACACGGCTCCTACTGCACTGGCATCCTGCCTGAAATAGCACCCACACCCAGTCAGATAGAGTGGGGCTCCTCAGGCTTATGACATGGGGAAGTCAGAGTGGATGGGTCAGCTACTGAGTTTTCATACCGCATTGTGCAGAGGGGGATGGTACAGTTCAGGGTGTAAGTGCAAAGAGGGGGATGGTACAGTTCAGGGTGTAAGTGCGAAGAGGGGGATGGCACAGTTCAGGGTGTAAGTGCGAAGAGGGGGATGGCAGGGTTCTGGGTGGAGGCGCAGGGGGA